GTGCTTTGGTATTAACAAACCAAAATGCCAAGGTCTGTATATTCTTGCAGACTGCAGTAACATGAAAAGGAAAGGACTCTACCAGGATATTCCTCATTTCAGTCCTCTTTCAAACAGACTAACCCATGCCCACTTGGCATCAACTCCTAACATGAACCCCCCACTTCTGCAATTTGATCTTTTTTTTTTTTCTTAATTTTTGAAAAGGGAGATGGATCTCCCATGAGGATGACTTGGTGAATAATCCAAACACTATAATTAACTTCTTTTCATACTATATTAATTTGCACTTAAATATATCTCATGCTTTTGTCTAAGTAACCAAAATTTGCATTACTATGTCCTCTTATCTAAGTCTAAGCATTTTGGGGATAGTTACTTATTCCCCAAACTTGTGTTGGTCCATGTTTTTTTCTATTAAATGAGCTTTACAAGGGAATGAGGGATACATTGGAAAAATCAAATCAAAAGTGCACACTCATGTTAAATATTGAAAGGGCTGAGGCTTAATCACATCTCTTGGTTTCTGGCCAACTTGCTGGTAATCAAATGCCAACCCCATAAAGGAAAGGCAATGTATGCTTGAAGTTGTTTAGGAAACCAAGTTCTAGTTTCATTCAAAGTTCAAAATTCAAGTCCTTGTTCTGGATAGCCCCATGTGAATCCTTAGAGAAAACCCATATTTAGTTCTTTTAGAGAACTACTTTTTGGTTATGTTCAAAGTTCAAACCACAAGTAGCCCTTTTGGATGGACCCCTATTGCATACTGCATTGACTAGTGGATTGATTGACAAGCCCCTCAAGCCAATATGTAAGAATTTTATACTTACTTCAAAGCCTCCCTCATGTATCAAACTCTGTAAAAATTCTTGGGGATTGGAATAATTAAGTAGCCATTAATTTAGGAATTCCCATTTCATGTACATTTTAAATACAATGAGAGCAAGGGTGGGGAACATTAAATGTTTCTACTATTACATTTGTAGGGTTCCCTTGCCAACAAGAAACACATCATGCCATGTACATTAATTAATAAACTCATTAATGAATTAATTAACAATCCCAGGTAGGTATAGACTCCAAGAGCCTAGAGATCTGTAAAAAATAATATAATAGATTAGATCATTAGAATAAACCATAACTAAATAACAGATTAAAACAGCCACTCAAATGAGGTTGAGGCCCCTTCTTTCTTGACCACACTTCATGCTTGATGCTTCTTCCAAGTTCCATCCCTTTATGTTTCCAAGAGAGCACGAGTGTGTGGGATCACTTTCAGTCTTCACCCTCCATATATCCTGTTTTGTGACTCCCAAACATCTCTGTCCCCATAACTACGAAACCCTACAAAGTCTAAATCTTATTATTATTATTTAGTTGCAGTTATTTTGTTCAATTCTCAATACAAAACTTACAAAGCTGTTTGGTTAATGTTCTTTTTTCCTTCATTCACGGTGATGATGAAACGTGGGCCTAGTCTATCCATCGGCTTTTCTTGAGAACTGGAATGATCCAGTGCAGAAACACATAGTTACTTGCACTCAGGATATGTTGACCAAATCAAGAACACCCTGTGTGAAAGTGCAACTATGAACATGATCAGTGTGAAGGGAGCCCGCCTGAGATTTTGAGACCCAAGTCTATATTTGCAGAGAGGTCTCTCAGTATTTGTTTTCCTTCTTGTATTTAGCAGTTTTGATCTCTTTTTGGGTGGAGTGTTATCTATACTTGTTTGGACTTAGTCAATTTATTTCGGCTTTTCTTACTGCTGGTTTCTCTGAGTTTGTACACTGACTCTGAGCATATTACTGAATGAACTTCGCCTATTAAGGCTTAAAAAATAAAATGGAAAATTCAAACGCGTTGATATGGGCTATGCACTGCAGCCATGCATGGATATACTTGTACATCCAACCAAGCAAATGACACGTGCAAAGGTTAACAATACGGAGAGAATGAATGGTTGATAAACACTATTTACGTGAAAATATGACATCAACCAATGATCTCTCTCTCTCTTCTGAAAGAAAATGAAAGCATACCAAAAACAAGGAGGGATCCACAGAAATCATCATCACCTAAGACTTGTCCCAACTATATAGGGTCCGCAAGAGGAATTGATAAATAATCAAGTAATACAAAGTGAAAAGATCATTTACTAAAGCACACTATAGTATAGTTTAATAGATTTATTGAGATCCACCCTATAGTTTGTGTTTTATTAAAATACCCCCTATAATTTGCAATCGATTTACTTAATTGGTCTTATGTTAAGAACTTTTGTATTGCTTGGGAAATGTCATGTGATCACCTATGCCGAGTGGAAAATGTTTCAAGGGCATGGGTCGAAAATATCCCCAACACTTCATATCAAACTTTTAGAAAGAAATAATGTTTAGTTTTAATAGAAGAAGGGAAACAATGGCACCCGGGTTCCCAATTTGCAATATTGACTGAACAGGCTGATTGCCCACATTTTACAAGGGAATAATGTTTAAGTTAAACTTGTGTAAGTCCATGAAACCATAGGAGATGTTTTAGTAAATGACCCAAAATAAAAAAGAACACTGTTAAATTTCTTTTTCTGAGGGTGGGTCTACGGTTTGTTGGCATGTCGTCCATGACCATTTCTAGTTGTTTATTGTAACTTGTAAGTACGGCAAGAGGAGAGATTGTGTTAGAGACTAGAGAGAGAGAGAGAACCTTAAGATCGAGATGCCGTCACTTCAATTCTTCAAAGCGTTGTGGGTTCATGGACTTCTTTCTGGGAGGGTATTATTATGATTGTTGCCAATTGCCAATTAAGATTAGTTAGGATTGGACGAAGAATCACCATCCGTGAGGGTTTGTTAGGACTATGACATTGGTCTTCTTTAATGAGCCATCAATCAACCCAAATGTGGCGTCAAGTCTCCTTCCTTGCCGGGTTACACGACACGAATCACATCACCCACGTCCACGGTAGGGTAGACGGTACACCCAAATGAATTCATCAAACATGGTGGCTTCATTTCCCCGATTTTACGTGTGTATGGATGTGTGTAAAGTGTAGTAATCAACTGCATTCTGAAAACTGAAAAGCATTATCTGATTGTATTGTTTGTAGGGTTGGTTAGCATTTCACTGCTCTCAGCTCTTGGGAGGGATTGGGTAAAAAAGATGAACCGGGGATGGAGGGTGGGGAAATGAGAGATGTATGCCACAGGGCAAAGCGGTCAAGAATCAGCATTCCGCATGTTCCGCCTAACAACAACAGTTCTCTGGCTATTAATAGTGAATTTGGTTCCTGATCTTCATGGTTCAGACTTCAGAGCTCGCCACGCCTTGCGTAGTCCCGAGGTGTCTAATCAAACTATTAATGGAGCAGGAGGGGAGAAAAAAGCCCAGTGGCTGGATGGAAACACTTCAGAGTTAAGACTTAAGACATGAAACAAAGGCATCTTTATCTTTTTGACAGTGCTAAGAGTACGGTAGTGCTTCTGTCGTCGTGGGGTGATGCTTCTTCAGTCATGCATGCATGGCGTGCATGGTGAAGCTTCCAACAGTAAATAGATTTAATCCCAATCCAGATTGAACAAAATGCCCAGAAGATAATATGACACCGACTTCTCATCATGGGTGAGACCGGGATCCTAATTTCATGGATGGGGTGGTGCAGCAACCAGCAGCTCTCTCTCTCTCTCTCTCTCTAATTTAATTGATATGAAATGAAACACAAGGCACCTGGCAACCTGCATTGCCGCGCCCTGTTGAGTTCGGTGACGCATTAGAAATTAGACATTAGACATTAGACCACGTTAAAACAGTGAATAACAAATATGGACAAACCCAAATGTAGCAGCAGTTCTTAGATGACAGTGGCACTACTTATAAGTGATATCATAATTGCATATGTAGCCTGGCTGAAAGATATAATACGTGATGATGCCCAACAAGACAGAGATTCTCTTAGGGCCCAGACAGGGACCACGCCAAGAGGCAATGACAACATTTCGGTTTTACAGACAAATGGTAACCCCAACTGGGCTTTACTTAAAAAATGTTCTCCAATGACCCACTCAATGGAGACCTGCTACAAAATTCAGCAGAAACAAGCGAACTGGGCAACATGATCCACTTATCAAATTGCAGGGTTGCTTCGGAAAAGAGTGCAACCAACCGAATCAGCAGAGCTTCTAATACTTCACGAATCTTGCGAGTTCAGGTCCAGGAATACTGGAGAACCATCTATAGTTTCTAGAATAATAGATAATCAGGCCAGCCCTCTGAAAAATGCAAATCCAGAGAAGCTTGGTTAGGTCGTCTTTCTGAATTTGAACTGGACTATGCCGCGGGCCGGAAGCCTAGCATCTTAGGCCTTGTTCTCTGTGTATGCGTTCTTAATGGACACACTTAAAGTCTAGTATCAAAACCAAACTTCTAATTTTGATTTGTGACGAAACCAATACTTCAAAATGAAAGGGGCTCGTTATTGATCAAAAATATGGGCTCGCTCTCCGTGGCTGCTGACCAATTCAATGTGAGAAATCTATCAACCCAGCAAACTCCCAAGTGAGCTTAAAACTTATTAAGACTCCGATCTTCCCCCCC